GACACCCTGTAATCATGATTAGCTTCTATAATATAACAGACACCCTGTAATCATGATTAGTTTCTATAATATCCAAGACACCCTGCCTTCATGATTAGTTTCTATAATACCCCCGACACCCTGTCATCATGATTAGTGTCTATAATATCCAAGACACCCTGCCTTCATGATTAGTTTCTATAATACCCCCCGACACCCTGTCAACATGATTAGTTTCTATAATATCCAAGACACCCTGCCTTCATGATTAGTTTCTATAATATTTAAGACACCCTATCATCATGATTAATTTCTATATTATCCCGGACACCCTGACTTCATGATTAGTTTCTATAATATTTAAGACACACTATCATCATGATTAATTTCTATATTATCCCGGACACCCTGTCATCATGATTAGTTTTTATAATATAACAGACACCCTGTCATCAAGATTAGTTTCTATAATATCCCAGACACCCTGACATCATGATTAGTTTCTATAATACCCCCCGACACCCTGTCAACATGATTAGTTTCTATAATATCCAGGACACCCTGTCATCATGATTAGTTTTTATAATATAACAGACACCCTGTCATCATTATTAGTTTCTATAATATCCCAGACACCCTGTCATCATGATTAGTTTCTATAATATCCAAGACACCCTGCCATCATGATTAGTTTCTATAATATTTAAGACACCCTATCATCATGATTAATTTCTATATTATCCCGGACACCCTGTCATCATGATTAGTTTCTATAATACCCCCGACACCCTGTCATCATGATTAGTTTCTATAATACCCCCCGACACCCTGTCAACATGATTAGTTTCTATAATATCCAGGACACCCTGTCATCATGATTAGTTTCTATAATATAACAGACACCCTGCCATCATGATTAGTTTCTATAATATCCCAGCCGCCCTGTCATCATGATTAGTTTCTATAATATAACAGACACCCTGTCATCATGATTAGTTTCTAAAATATCCCAGACACCCTGTCATCATGATTAGTTTCTATCATATCCCAGACACCCTGTCATCATGATTAGTTTCTATAATACCCCAGTACAGTACCTATATGTGGTAATGACAGACTATAAGTTACTTTAGTTATCAGGAGTTGCTCTAAATTCCTATCAATTCTCCACTTTTATACCACTTACCTGGTACAAAATTTTAATTGCATTTTTAAAAATTAGTTTCTGTCATTTTAGATTGATTAATTTACACTCCTGAACACAGACAATATAATTTACCTTCAATCAAATTAAATTATAAAATTAACTCTGATTTTAAAAGGGAATGATAATTTGATGACAATTATACCGTACATAAGTTCTGTGTCACTAGAAGCCCACCTTTGTGTAACTACAAAGAAGCAATATCTGACGTGACAGACAATGTGAGATCACCCTCACTGTGTGGTGCCTACATGATACAAATCACTTACACCAATAGAATGACATGAAAATTATCGTTTAATTCTGCATGATTAAGTTGGTTCAACGAGACGTCAATTTACAAGCCCAATTTTTTCTCCTCTTTAACTTGGTTTTTCCCGTCTGACATGCCGTAAGATTTGTAGGTACTACAGGGACAGTTACTGTTTGAGACCTCAATGGGGTACAGGATTGGCATGTCTCCTGTCACACAATCAACCATAATTTAATTATTATCACAAAGTTCACAAAAACAAGGAATGTGTCTTTCATCTCGCACACAAAGAACTACACCATTATATTCACATATCGTTTTCAAATTGATAAAAATTCTATTATTTTGTTTGACAATTTGGACAAATACTTGTGTATACTGGTGAGCCCTTTTCTGTTGATTCACAACTGATTCACAACTGGCCGATCTTACAACATGTTAGCCATGCAACTCATAGCCCACCATAAAACCATCAAACACATCAAAGGCAGACAACAGTCAATTTTACTATAGTAAAACACTTTACAGGCAAACCAAAAGTACCCTATAGCTAGGACAATTTTACTACAGCAAAACACTTCAAACAAAACAACAGTACCATCGTAATAAACTTTCACTACAGATATACACATCAAAAGCAAAACAATAGTAACATAGCGAGGACAAATCCATTTTTGTCAACATGTAAGGCTGAAATTTCCTGTGAGATCAAAGAATACAGGGTTTCCTTTACTGGTAAACCTAGTAAATTTATGCATTCCACTTTTCTTGGGATCCCAGAATCTAATTCTAAGCCAAACTTCAAAGAACATTAAATACAACCATCTCATGACAGTTGACCTAGATGGCAGACATTTCTCCTGTCATTCCTGCCTTAATAGTACACAAATCAGTCTCAGTTTTATCATACATCCCATACTATTCTGTGTAAGTTTGATAGTAACACCCATAAATGCCAACATCACTTTCATCCCAGTAAATGTTCCCTTTCAATTATGCATGGCCATGGGCAAAGATCAATATGTCAGTTCTAATTTTCAACTTCAAAAGACCAAATAATTGATGAATTAAGATGCATTTAATGATTTCTTTTTTTAGGGACGTCAAACTGAACTGGGACTGTTGTAGGGAGTCAAGACATCGCCAGCCTACGAATGCACCAGGTCCAGGCGCTCTTTCACACAATAACACTGCAACACAAACGTTCCTGTGTCTTGGTCAGGTTAGCTTTACTCTCAATGATCCTAGAAACTTTTACTCTCTTCAGGTCTTGGTGTCTGTTCCACTTATGTTTATCTATCGGATTTTCATAAACTTTGTGAATGATATTTGCATCAAATTTATAAATAAATATGAAGAATTAATTTGCATCCAGACAATTTTTTGAAAAATACCTCCTTTATAAGTGTCAATTTTATTTAGTTGCAAAATAGCATTTATGTCAGGGTTATAAACAATATATGAAGTTATCACTGACTTAACTCATTCAGTCATATTTTAACTGGACTTGCCCAGTCTTTGATTTGGTAGGGTTCAAATGTAACTTTAGGGGTGAATGGTGCTCGCACATGTGAAAATGTTGATTTATTGAAGGAAACTTTTACTCTGCATTAAAACCTAACCATACACTCAGCTACGTGTTTATATAATACCATGTCTGAACAACATGGCACCCGTCCCATTTAAGCCCTCCCCCACCTCCTCCATACCATCTGTGGTCTAAAATAGTATCTCCTATTCAAAAGACAGCCTCTCGTCAATTAACTATTATCAAAAGTTAAATCTGATGTCATATTTTACACCAGATGCTACCCCTTGTTAAAGTTCCCTGATCACAATATACATTTTATTTTTAGCTCTATTTAATGTCAGGAGTGTGACCCAATAGTTTTAATAGCAAGTCAGGCAGTACAGTTTACACTGGAAACAAAACCATCAAGAGGTTATCTTTATTTGATGTAGTTTCAATTAAAATCTCATAAAATTTCTTCATCATTTAAGGGATTTCCATTTTTATGCACAAAGTAAAGATTTTATTGACATTCCATTTACTCAGAACTGACACAAAAATGAACTTAAAAAAACCCACTGACTTATAAACTTTACCCCAGCTTTCTTTAGCCCTAAAATACCCTTTAAAATGTGTTTCCTACCAACAAACGAGGTGAAAGGAAGCTACAGCCAGCATGTTGACTGAAGTCTGTGATGTTCTAATGAGGCATACAATAGGTAAACCACATGGACTTATACAAATAGCACATGTAATTATAACAAGGGAAGTTTGTATCCTTTCCCCTTTTCTTGCACATGTAATGAAAGATGCGGGTCCATAACATAAGAGATAGTCAGTTAATTTAAAGCGGCTAAAATAGTGAGTATTGTGTTGTCTCCCCTTATTAGAACAGTGTTGTCTCCCCTGGTCAAAACAGTGTGGAGGGGTCCCTCTTGTTCAGGAGGGTATATCATGATTAGCAAAACATTTTTCATTTGCCAATGTATATAGGATAATCTCTGGTCAGGATGGTGTGAAGTAGTATGGAGTAAATTTCCTTGATAGAACAGGAGATAGATGCCTTCTCTGGTCAAAATGGTCTAATTAGTGTTAAACATGTTTAAATTTTGTGTGGTTGGAAATAATAATTAGTAACTAAAATGGTGTGTCTGTCTGTTTGAATATAAGAATGTCTGAAAGGTTAAGTGTCTGTGGAACATTGAACCCAGACACACATAGTAGGAGACACCTATCCTGATATTGACTACAGGATAGACCAAAGTCTCCTGCCTGAACTGGTTCCTCTGTATTCCTGACATCTAAATGCCATCACCTATGATGACCAATGTTGAATGGTTATGACTGACATGTATGATATCTGTTGTATACAGTCCATTGAGAGGTAAATAATGACTTAAAAGGATTAAATATTTAGGAAATTTTAAGGTATTTTGACATGCAGAAACTGGTCCCTAGGACTTTCCAAGTCAAACTTTTTATGAACTTCGTGTTATTTGGATGCAGTACAACATGGGTCCTGAATACTTACCAGGGTTACATTTGTAGGAGACTTGGAGGTACTTTGATGTATGAGGAAAAAGGTCCAAAGACCTTCCAGGGTTACATTTACAGAATTGTTTTAGGTATTTGGATGTATAAGGACATGAGTCCTGTAGAGTTTACAGAATTGTTTTAGGTATTTGGATGTATAAGGACATGGGTCATGTAGAGTTTCCTGTATTACATTTGCAGAATATTTTTTTAGGTATTTGGATATATAAGGACACGGGTCATGTAGAGTTTCCTGTATTACATTTACAGATTTTCTTTATGTATTTGGATGTATAAGGACATGGGTCCTGAAGACTTACCAGGGTTACATTTGTAGCAGACTTTGAGGTACTTTGATGTAGGAGGACAGGGGTGACGAAGACTTACCAGGGTTACATTTGTAGCAGACTTTGAGGTACTTAGATGAACGAGGACATGGGTCGTGAAGACTTACCAGGGTTACATTGGTAGGAAACTTTGAGGTACTTTGATGTAAGAGGACAGGGGTGACGAAGACTTACCAGGGTTACATTTGTAGGAAACTTTGAGGTACTTAGATGTACGAGGACAGGGGTCCTGACGGAATGTATCGGTACTGGCCTCCACAACACATTTTCGCTGGTTCTGGCAACGATCCAACAATACCTGAAAAATAAAGCAAGCAAAATCAAATTACTGCAAATTCAAAATAAGATCCTGACAAGCAACCTCTTCAAATGCAAAATTTCCCAATTAGTCATATCCTTGTAGTCTAGATACCATAACTGATACACATTGTTTAAGGATCTATGTGATATTTCTTATTATTCCCATAGAAAATTAAGTTTTACTGCTGAACAAATAATTATACAAAAAAAAAAGCATCAAAGAAATCTTGAAAAAAACTCATAACTACAAACCATACTATGTACTTTATGAAATTTCTGGAAATAACCAATAAAGACTTGTCTAGGAGGAGACAATTTATAAGGCAATTCAATAACACCACAGATTGTAAACTAGCCCTAACAATCTTTGTAACAGGTGACACCCTCAACTACCTGGAGACTGAACTATTCTCAAAAGGCATTAGAGAATTTCTAATTCACAAAACCACAGATACAGCTATAGACATTAACCCTTTGAGAAAAAGCAGGAAATATTCAAAATCTCAACAAAGTTAAGTGATTGAACTTTTTACCACATGAAAGAAAGAATTCAGGTGTTCAAAAGCTTAGATCTATGTGCAAGTTACATGGTTTTTATAGCTAAAAAGTTGAAACTGTATCTGATAATCATTTAACCTTGTAACCACAGTACCTGGTTAAACCAGTAAATTGAAATTGTACTTGATAATCATTTAACCTTGTAACCACAGGACTTGGCTAAACCAGTAAATTGAAATTGTACTTGATAATCATTTAACCTTATAACCACCGGACTTGGCTAAACCAATACATTATGAATGATCGAGCAAGCAAGCTAGGTCAATAGGGTTTTCATTTAATCAAATTTTGCACACATTACTGTTCCATAATTAATTGATATCAGTAATATGTTTTTGTCACCTTTCAATTATATACACAATATTGAACCACCAATTTCATTATGACCCAAGGGACAAAAGCATCACTATAGATCAAGCATTAATCACCTAACAATTTCACATTTACAAGGAGTTAAACAACTGAAACAACACCAGGACATTTTGCTTCCTCTGCAATTTTGAGGATGGTCAAATAATTTCACAAAAATCATCATAGAAACTTTTTACTATTTCAATTTTTTTTTGTTTCCCCAAGAAGATGAATTATGAAAAATCGACAGTGTGCTTTATTACTTGGACATGTTTCATCCAATTTTTCGTTGTCATAACAAAATCTTTACATACCTATGAGTCAACAACAACAAAACGTGAGAATTTGGGTGATTGTTTCTAACTGTTATAATAAGGGTAGTTGAGCACACCTTACCAGTGTGTAGCCTTATCTTACACTGACAGTGTTATCACATACCCAAACAACATGACAAATTACTCTGAGCAAACACAATGGAATGTTTCCTATCCCTCATGACGTTTGACCTCTCCTAAAAAACCACATGAGGAAGGGCACCAACTGTTAACAATCCTCCAGGCAGGGTCTTAATTGATATTTATCTTAATGCTGATGGAAAAGGCGTCTCATTCATTCATAAAATGGAAAAAGAAATAACTTTATTGACTAGAACAGACAACACATTAAAGGGTTCCCCTCCATTAAAACTAGTATGGAAAAAAACATTAAGTATCAATCACCAAATAATTTAGGACAGCCGTGATGCTGTTGGCATGATTACAATCCATTACGGCAATGAAGCCAGCTGATGTCTGATGTCATTGTTTACATCTAACATAGGGTAAGGGGAACCAAGTCCCCTACAATTAGACTTCCATTTCCAAAGCGTAGTATGATGTGTATGATCTCCTTCTCTTAGGACTATTGTTATGTTATTTTCTGTTATTTTCAAGTTAAATTCATATTGTTCCTTCTAATATTCATACAAAGACAATTTATTGATTGTGGGCCCTTTTAGGGTTTAAGAATATTTTGATTTTTTTTGCAGAAAGTATTAACATGAATATGGTTCTGGTTATATAATAAAGAGGTCTGGAGATCAAATCCCTGCAGTGCAAAATTTATAAACAGAAATCATATTATTTATATTTCTATATAGATAACTGTTTGCTATACCAGGTATTAAAAATGGGCAAGCAACTTCAAGTCACAAAAATAATAAACAATTCGGTAATGGAACTCTTCTTTGTTGCAGATAGTGTACAACAAAGTGCTGGAACTCTCTGCTTTAATATTGTTGGAGTAATGGAATCATGTGATCTGGGTTCATACTCTATAGAAGTGTGGAGAAGGGGTCTCAGGAAGAATGTGATTTGAGTATTCTATAGAAGTGTGTGGAGTAGAGGAGTGATACCGGAGTCTGTGTTCTGTATAGAAGAGTGGTGTTGGGGAACCAGCAGGAGGAAAGCTGTTCTATGGAGAAGAAAGTGTTGAGAGAATATAGCGAAGGAATGTAGAGGTGTCCTTCCATTACATTGTTAGCATTCCTACTGGCTCAGTAATAATTTGGGAGAGGGGTGGGGAAGTGTGGGAAATGACTATGGAGGGGGACTATGATTTGGGTAGATAAAAATGGTGGAAGCATAGTACCTTTAGATGGGGACTATAGAGGTCAAGTGGGAAAATGAGTGTATCTAGGTGAGAGATGATAGGGAAGGGGAAGAGAGGAAAGGCATGAAAGGAGAAGGGGTGGGGAGAAGCCAGGGACAGATGACCTTGAGAGGGGGAAGAGAAGGAAAGTAGATGGTGTGAGGAAGGAGGAGGAGATTGAGGGGGTATGACTTGGGGAGGAGGAGGAGGAGGAGGAGGAGGAGGAAGGAAATGAGTTGAGGATCTGCTTGTTTATTGATGATTATCCTTCCAAACAATCAGGTACAAAATCATTAATATTTCAGCGTGTAAGTACTAAACAGTGGCAGTACAGACATGTGGTCCTACCCTCCTCTGGTTAGGCCAATTACTGCACAAACTACTTTGTACCAGTAGCTATTATACAGGGGCGGCTGTTGTCCTCTCATCTCTGTGATACATTTTTGATGTAAAACTTTAACCAGGGCTATAATCCTGCACACAGACCTGTTTCAGTCTTCAGACATTCTACTAATTTGACAATTTAACAACCATAAGATTTGACCTGCAAGTTCATCCGGTACACAGTTGGCATGAAATGAATGTAATGAAATTCAAAAATCAGGTTTTTGTAGATTTTCTTAGACCTATCACATCGCTTGAGGTCCTGGTATAAATACTTTTGTTTTCTAAAAGCTTCATGTTAACTACATATGTACAAGCATTCAGCTTTCATGACTTCAAAACAAGAGCAGTTTTATGATACAGATCTTAACTTTTTACAGCGTAAAGACCTTTATATCATACTTTGAATTTCTACAACAGCGAGGAAAGACATGGAGCCAGGAATGTGAAGTAAAGAAAAAAACGAATAAGTTTGCTTGATATCAAACTCACTAACAGCAGTAGGAAATTGCTTTTTTTGCCTCATAACACGTCTCAATTTCCTTTTTTAAGGTTTTTGAGAACATCCTCTTTTGACAATATTCCAGGAAGGGCCTCTTCGTGATAACCTTGAGAACTATTTCTCTGGATAACAAGATCACAAGGTCGTGGTTACAGTTTAATTGGATTGAATGTTACATATTAGGGCTAATTGACCAATTACATCTTTGTCACTGCTACAAACACAAACATGATACAGATCGAGAGGTTACTGTTATCGTACACCAGAGAAATTTAATCCGCTTGAAACACACTTAAGCTAACACCAACTTCCCTAAAAGTGCATCTCAAATATCTAATTCTATAACTTTTATATTTGGAACATTCTTACAGATGTGAAAAAATGTTAAAAGTGCATCTCAAATATTTCTCATCAGATAAAGTTTACTTCTATTATGATGCAATAACCTATATGTGTCATTAATATGATGTTACACTTAATATCGCAGATATTAAACAATTTTCATATTTTCATAATTAAAATGTTGATTAATTTACATCTTTTAAATTACGTATTTGACATTTTTCTGACATAAATTCCTATCTACAGTACCTGAATAAACCTTACAAATATTTACCTGTATTTATCTATAAACGTACACTTATTTGAACAAACTATGGGAGAACTGAACAGGTGTACTGAACAATTTAAATCGATATCCTGAACGGGCCTGGTATTTATACACGGGAATACTGTATATTGATATTCTACTACACTGAGAATTCTACGCACCGATCACATTAATGCCTGACAGTATAGGCCTGCCTGTAATACCTGCCCGAGTTACAGGTAAGAGTATTAAGAATGCGGAACACTTATTGATTTGACCTTATATATATATACTCTTGACAGGCAAACTTAGGTTAGGGGTCAAGGGTCAGGGTGGCTGTACTCCATGACATCAAGAGGCCTGATCAGTACTGAATACAAAAATACATGTACATTTTCTTTTCATTTAAGACAAGGCAAGATGATTTGTTCACTGTCATCTGACAACATTTCCATCAAAATTGCTCTTTAAAAAAGGTGGTCTCACATAACACATTTTTACTTTAATCTAGTTTAATACACATCCCCCTTGAAAAAAATCAAAATAGTCACCCTAGAAATAATTAAAAGTATAATGATCAAAACATATAGAGAAAACAAAATAGGTTTCTTTCCGTAAAAACTAAATCCCTCACAACCACCACGATAAAACAGATTCCAACGAGTTGTAAACATGATTGACAATGTTGATGACTTCTTTATAAATACAGAATGACAATCGTTTTTCCTATAAGTGTACCAGTGCTTTGATGTATGTGTTACTATTACAGAAATGAAATACTATACCAACAACTATGACCCTTGTGAAATCAAATACAACGATATATAGCCATTGGCCACTTACCAGGGTAACAATGAAATACCACACCATGTACACATGACACTTGGTATAAATCCACGCCATCACACTAGCTGTAGTTAGGACCACATATCATTTAGCGTCCATTTGAATCTCTTGTAGACTCCAAAGCAGGCTAAGTAGCCTCCATCCTTTCTCTAGCATTGATGATAACGGCTGTCTGCCCTGTCCAGCTCAGCAGTCAACAGGATATCTCTGTGATCTTAATATGCCTCCCCTATCGCACCCCTTGTCAGTCGGGGATAACGCACCAAAAAATAACTGAAGGAATATCCCTCGTAGAAAGTTCAGCATGCAACTTCAAACAACCCTGAGCACTTATCCCTCCATAGTCCTCCTACAGCACCAGAAAATAAGATGGTTGTATAGTGTTGCACGAACCAGAAATCCAAAAACTGTTTCCAGTCTGTACACGGCAGACGGCCCTGGATTGTAATACATTACACTGTACACGGAGTCCTTTGCTATCTGACTATCTCCAGTCCTGTGTTTCCAACGGCAGCATCACCATGAATCTATCCTTAAACTCTGTGAGACACTACAAACTCAAGAACATCCAACCACTGCAGCGACACTAATTTATATCAGACACGTTTCAATGTGTTGCACTTACGAAGAATTAAACAAACTTAAAAACAGGTTCCTTGTATATTTATTCCTCGTTGAAATTATCTTCATAAGATTGCAGATGTATTAACAAAAACGTCGAGAAGATTTATTTCTCCCTATTTGAAATTTCATCTTCAAAATGACATGTATATATGCCAAGGTTGAAATTTATCTTTCAAAGATAACGCTCTTTACTGTTTCCAAGTAGGAAAAAACACACTTCATAAAGACGATCGCTCCTCCACAGAATTTACCAGTGCATCATAAATTCGCAGATGCTGATATATATCGGATCGGTCTTTACATGCTCATGAGCAACAAGAGTAACCAGTAAATACAAGGATGGCTGCAGCTCGCTATAAAAGAATCACCACTTGAGCGGCTACCACGAAATTGACACAATCAATACGATGCATAGAATATTGATTGGGAAGACACTAAATATGCATTCAACTTCAGCTTCCTGTGTTTGTCCAATGTCATTTATTCCTTTTTTATTCCAAGACTCTTTGTATGTCGTTATCGTAATTCTTCTCTTCTATTAACCGCTCAATCCAAATGTAGATGAATTGTTGGGGAATCAGAGTGTCTGAGTTGGTCAGTTGAAGACCTGTATTGTATACCCTATCAAGGTTAATGACAAGTAGTCCAGTAGCCCTTCGTCCTCATTTACAGTCTAACTATTGGTGAACCCTGTAAACCAGTCAGAACATCTGTAGGTCAGCCATGCATCTAATACTGTTGCTTATGTTGCTAGCTTCATTACTAGTTATCTAAATCGACAACTGGTGCACATGCAGCAATTCTATAATTTCCTAACACTTGTTAGTTGGTAAATGAAATCTGAGGCCGTTTTATCAAGGCTAGCTATATCTTGACTGAAATTAATTGGTTTTCGGATATCAATTTATGATTGGTTGCAATGTGACATAATTTCATATACAAACGCTGTCAATCTGTTCTGGTTAATTAAAACATGACGTATGGTCATAGCTAGGCAGAGACTGGACCTAACAGGGTAGGTACTAGCTAATATAACTTGTTTAAAACAGCTGGTGCTTATTACTTCAGTAATCAGTGTCTGCAATTAATTAATTATCTAATGCACGATATAGGCTGTGTATGATTAAAGTTCCCAAGTAAGACTATTGAATGTCTTATTATCACCATTAACCTTGTAGAACTCTCCTGTCTTTTTTTTTGTCGTTACCTGTCAGCTCCCATCTCATCAGGTTCTGTCAAATTGATTTTGACAACCTGTAATCTTGGTCATAAACATTCTTGAAGCCAATCCTCTTTTCTTGCAAAAAAACCCCACACGTTTGAATGTCAGATCGGACACATACACATTGTGTTCAGTGGAGATGAGCTGCTGTAAACTACAATCTTCAAGCCTGATATTGCTAAAGTCTTTTACACGCTGGATTCAAATTGCCTTCATGTAAACATCTGTGTCATAAACATTCCGATTAAAGTGACACTTCAAGCCCTTTGTCTTCAAAGATTTTAAAGAAACTGCTTGATCAGGATCACTTAATTATCTTGTATCTACAACCCGATATGTGTTGGAAGAGGTTTTTTTTCAACATGTCTCCTGTTCTCTTCAGAAAGCTCCACTCCTGTTCTTTTCTGTTCTTGATTATAAATCCTTTCTGTAAAATTCTAGATAAAATTTCAACATATTAGCACTTGCTTCATCCCATTGAACCATTCCCTGATGTGATCCTCATGATTTTGATTTCATACAGCGATCCTGTAACACTCTCAGGGTGTTCCAAACCCTTGTAAGTAGCGTCGTTTATAGTGGCTATGGTAGATGGCCCTACACGACAAGGTCACTTGTCACTGGGTCCTTAGGTAACTAGACAGGGTTCCTTTGTCCTCTGCTTATTCCCTTCCAATGCTTTCCATAACTACATCATTGGATCTAAAACCACAACTATTTGCCAGACAATGGCCAGACGACTTTACACACAAGGGACCACAGAGCAAGTGTTTACTTTTCGTCTTTATCCGTACAGAAATAATTATCCACAGTTCTCTGTGTCTGTATGTAAATCGTTTGATGTTTGCTGCTTCAGAACAGGTAAAAACTGCACAGGTGAGGTAATATGATCACAAGTAATTAGACTGGTCACCCCTCCTCTTCCTCAAGTTAAACCTTGACAACAAGATCCGACAGTTGGCCTCAGGACGCTTGTGTCTTGACCAATAAATCTACCATCAGGCTCTGCCATAATCAATAATTATAACACCAAGGCACTCTATGTCTATCAATAACATCAATACATTTCAATCTACTCACAAATATACACTGGGTCCCAACCAACCAGCCAGTTAGCACATCATTGATTCAATACAGTATAATTACAAAAAACTGTCAGATTATTATAATCCTATCAGCAAGATAATCTCAATCCAATATATCCTAATCTACATACCATAACATAAACAAAAACACTCCAACATGTATATGTTTTAACACAGAACAACATATCTCTCATGTGTTTTAATCACCTGTGGTGTTAACAGTATCAACAAAGAGCTTAAGGCACCTTACACAGTACTCTTTGAAGGGTGTTTTATACTTCACTGGAAAAACTTGTCCAAATGCTGGACAACCTGACATGATTTATCTGTTTCCATACAAAAAAACGGAGTAACACCTAGCTCACTGCTCTCCACCGACTCTCAAACAAAACCAGTATTTGTATCCACAAGAAAATCAATAGTATGCATTAGGTACAACGTAACACGCATTTGTATAATGGTAAGAAAAAAATAAAATACATAGACAAATTAACAAGATTCAATTGTTAAAATATACATCTGCTGGGCCAGCTATTGAAAGTCTAACACTACAGGTATTGAAGTACACACTACAAGTATTTAATGTTATTCTTAATATCTTGATCAAAGAATATTTGAAATATACATTCCATTCATATCTGTCTATAACCAGTATATTTCTTAGGCTGGTATGTGTATTTGTATGGCTTGTAATTTACCGGATAATATCCATGTAAGTGTTATAAAGTTACTCTATAATAATTTATGATATAAAATGAGATATTAGACTGCAAGAATGAACTAGTGAATGTGAAAATTGCTATTGTAAGATATTTTGTAATGCTGAAAACTTTCAAAAATACAAGATTATAACTTTTATAAAAAAAAAATTTAAATTTACTGTATAATATTTGTAATCCTATTAAAACCGAAACTAGATTCACTGTTTTTATATTAATAGCTATACCAAGATTTTTTGTAGAAATATTGAGATCTGAGTAAGGCTAAGGAAATCTAATCTACTGTATAACGGGAAATTTTCGCCCTTCGACAATAAAATCTATTTTCACCTACCCGGTAATGTTAAATTCAACCTTCACATTAAATTACTATGTATTTTATGCTGTTTACAAATGTTCGCTGTAATGATAAATTCACCCTCATTATGGAGGGCGCAAAATGAGAAAATCAAACTGCAGCGAAATTTTTCTGGTATATAGTAGTATAAACACATGTAAAAGATGTGACTGGCTGACCTGCCTCCCTAATGGTAGATAAGTGACGTCATACCTAAAAAGGTTAAACTCATCACCTGTTACATGACACCCTGTAACACCCATTGCACCTCTCCGACACCAGCCATACCACAGCTTTTATCAATCATTTTATATACAACCAACAATTTATTTCAAATTACCGTTTTCCCCCTCCACTTAACCTCAAAAGCAGAAGCCAAACTTCAAAGCTATTCACATCCCGATATGTATTTGAATAGTTTTTAATGTCATGAAAATATTTTAATGAATTCCAAATTGTGTATGCATGATTGATTGACAGGTTAAGAGCTACATCATTTCACAATTCAAAACGGCTGCCATTCATCAAGTAGCTGCACTAAATACCATGGCGTCTCTGTGCTTCACTGATCATGTTCATTGATTTATCTAATTTAAAAGTTCATGTATTTTACCTAATACATGCCCCACCCTTGTCAACACTCTGCATCCTTTTTACGGTCTGAGTGCCCCACCCTTCACTTTAATTTATAGACTTGCTTGAAAAAAATGTATCCATTATGGCTATTTTTGAGAATTGCATGAGGTTCTGCAATCACTGTAATTTTCCAAAACTGCTAAGCACCCAGGCTTCTTATTATATTAAATACAGTAGCATCAATATGGAAATATACACAGTATTAGGACAGACCTCTGTCTGAACACCACACCAAAAATCCCATCACAGAAATAGCATGAAAAAAAGGTGAAAATAACAGGTGAAAGCATTTACAATTAACTGATATGTCAAAATTGTATCTTCTTGAAAAATTGTGAGAATTTTCATCACATGTGACCTTGAACAATCAAGTCTCATATGACCTTTGACCTTAGAAAACATCACCATGAACAATATACTTGGTGTGAAATATCAGACAAATAGCCCAATCACCTTAGATCAAAGGAAGGACTTACACCTGTAAATCTACACAACGTAAATGATGCAATGGCAGATTTTAACAGCACACCAGTAAATCACTGACACCTGTACAATTGGTGTAGTAATTCCCTAGTTCCTATAAAATGTTTGGGAAGAGATCAGGTTTGTGTACATCCTGTATGGATACACACCTACTTGGTATCAATAATAGTTACAAAGGCAACATGGACGTGTCAATACTTAGGGACCGGCCAGGCAAGGTGCTCACCGAGTGTTAGCTAGGTCTCTGGCGGGGTTCAAAGCCATTTATCACATTGCGAATAAACATCCGGTTACATGTCCCTAACTGTTATATACCTGCATCTGAAAAGACTGGAGCATATTAAAACAAACAAGTTTCAAACCCACACATTAAGCATATATCTTAAATTATAAGAATAATGTAAGCTTATAAACAAGTCATAATCAACTACTAAAGAAATTTTGAACCCCAAGTAATTAATTAGTTTTATATATATACATACCAGGTACCATATTGTCACTCATTTACAAGATGAATAGACTATCGTGTAAAATCGTATCATCAGATCTAACACTAATCTTGATCAGGAATCAATCTTTATGTGGTTTGAACCAGGTAGAGTTTGCTACTGTTGTACCCGAGCTCAGTACTTCGCACCATCTCTGTAAGTCTTCTCCCATTGTGTCATTAAATATCAAGATTTAAGATTCAAGATTTTTATTACTATCAGACACACAAAGCCTGTTACATAAGGTCATGCCTGTATATTGTTCATTGCACAAGGCGGACAACAAAACATTCAAAGATCACAAATCATTGCTCAATATATTCACCAGTTTTTCTAGTCTTTTTAACAATTAACTAATATTTACTTGTACAATGCAAATAGCAAATAACCCTTGCATATAATATAATGATATATCAGAGTAAATGGTTACCTATGTTTACACGAGCAAGTTATTTAATACCACGTTATCGTCTCAATATAATTGAATAGTCTTAACAGCTCATTAAACCACAAATAGTATTTGATCAGCTACTGTATTTTAGCTGTTAGGTTTTTGTACATCACCAAACTTGAAACATTATTAATGCATTGATGAAACGGCACAACCCCAATATAACAGACAGAAACAGCTATAAGCAGAATCAGAACTTAGTGCATTAATTTACGTGTGACATAAGATTACTGCTAAAATATGTATGTTTACAGTAATTTGATAACTGTAATTTAAGACAAATAAATGAGTTATTCAGTTATTTTATCCCTTCCACCTGTACTTCTTGACATGAAGCTATATAGCTTGAAATATTAGATCTTTTGGCATTTTTTTTATTTATCTTTTTCTGGAAAG